TGACCAGAAACATTTGTTTTCTTTTTTAGCCATACAGTGCCCTGTAAATTAACTTCAAGTACTCCATGTGTTGTGATGATGTCATTTCTGTATTTTGTTCACTCTAACAACCATGGCTGGTGTTTGTTGATTACTCATGCTCCATCAATGCAGGAGTTAAAGGGGAACCACTCAATCCCATGGTTTGCACCAAAGAATCATGGGACACTATTGTTTATGTTGTTTACAATGTTAATCTATCTTTTGTTATCCATTGTTATTTTAATCCAGAAAGTAAATTTGTTGTGAAATTAAGCCTAACTGGAAGGTGCCCCTTTAATTGTTTACAGGTGGTTAGAAAAATAATCAGTTTGCTAATGTTAATCTTTAACTATAATTAGAGCTGGGGTATAAAGTTTAAAAACAAACAATTCAATCTGTTAAGGAGCTTTGTAGCTTTTAAACGTATTTGTTGATGATGTCATTTTGTAGTCTCGCCCTTTCCACAATTAGTTGTGTGTCAGGGATTGAAATAGAATTTTTTCCCTGCATGCATAGTGTGCATGTTGAATTTGAAATTTACCTGCACTTACTTGTTGTGAAATGCACCATTTTTAAAGTTTAAATCAAATTTACTGGTTCTCGATTGATGCAATCACAAAAGAATTTGATTTTTTTTAGTTGTCTCACAATGTTGGTTGAACTTAATTTAGGCTTAGTGAATATAATGAGAAAATGTTGTGCTAAAATCTACATGCACAGCGTGCACATTATATTTTGAGTTTACTTGCACTAGCTAATAATCTATGTGCATAGTGCAGTGTGCACCAGGGTATTTCGATCCCTGTGTGTCAGTGCAAAATTTTAAAATTTTTTTTTTTTTATGCACTCAATAATTTTTTAAAGAGGAGACTGCTTTCAATGTATGAACTTATGAACTGTGATTTTCTGAGTTACGTCCTTGGAATGAAGAGTAATGTAGCAACCCGCTTTGGTATTTTAGGATTTCCGTGGATAAACACAATTGAAAACAAACTCCCACAAACTTACTTACTGTAGACATAATTGGGACATTTAATCAAAGGGTGTTTATCTGCTGCAATAACAATAGATTCTCCAGGATAACAATGGATAAGCATTTCTTAAATTGAACACATTGTCGCTATGCGGTCATGGACCTCCGCAAACCCATTTATGCATTCAATTTTAATAAGGGCATTGATGTACTGTAAAGGCATTAATTTTTCGCTAGGTTTTAATTTCTCAATTTTTTCTAATACCGGTAAGTGAAATCCATGATTTCAAATCTATGCAAGCATGTTAACATTTTCACCACCAGACTTCCTTGCCAACATTTTTCCAGCATTTTTTTCTTATATTCTTAAATATTTCTGGTATTGACTCCTAATTTTGGAGCCAGCAGAAACAATTTAAGTCAATTTTGTTTTTTACTCAAAAAATTTTGCTATTTTTGGCCCTAATCTTCAGAAGGAAAGTGCAGACTATAAACAAAACTATTTTGTGAATTTGTGATAAAATGAGGGAACTGATGGTGAAAAGGTTAACTTACTATAGAACTTGTTTCATGGGCAAATCAGAGTATTTAAAACACAGCAAATATGCTCAAAATATTAACAGTGAA